TAATCAAATCTGATCCTGAGGAAATATTGATGATGGCGGATTAATGTTGACAATTTGTATTAGCTCTGCAAAAACCTGCTCCTCTCCAGGTGTCACTGAATGGTGGCTAGCAGCCCTATATCCTTCTCTTGTAACACAGTAACCTAACGGAGTGGGTCAATGAGGCACCAGGACTAGACATGATGTGGGACTTGATCTGCTTCCCTAAAACTTTCATAACCAGAACAATAATTGTACTCACAAAAAATGTTATGAAATCACATCATTCAAAACAAAGCAAAACACACTCCTGTTAACTTTGGCTAAAGTTGCAGCACAGTCTTCGCTGCAACACTCTAAAAAATTGAGTTATCATAGCTCAGAGTTACAGGGGCACTGGCCCTCGCACCTGTTGGCCCGAACCTTCCATGGTGGTTTTGGAAGCAAACCTTGTCTTTTCTGCGGATGGGGATGGTGGTGGTGCCCCCCCCCTGGTCCAGCGAGGACTGATCGGCATTGAGCTCTAAAGCACCAGTGCTTTAGCATTTCCTTTTTGAACACGTTTTTCATTGTTTAAAATATATTTTAAACAATAGTTAGATTGATAGTGTTTTTTTATTTGCAGACGTGATAAAATTCCAAACAGCAGAGAAATGTTGGGATTAAGGGAGCGGCAATGACATGTTGCTCTGCAGGCTGGGCCAGTAGAGGTAAGCTAATGTTCCACTTTGCTGTGGGAACGGAGCATTACAATGTTAGAAGGGTCATTTCAGTAGATATCTGTTCAATTAGAAAGATCTTTGACATACCGTCAACACTGTTACTTCTTCTTCCTTGTTGATAATGTTTTAAATGTTTTAAACAAAAATTCTGGCAAAAGTTTACACATTGCCCCTTTGAATGAAAGTTTGGAAATGAAATGTCTTCTGGGTGGAACCTCTCACATCCCAAAGACACACCTTTTTCAGGGAGAAAAAATACTGCTTTAAACTCTAAAATCACACATATTTAATGAGTTTAATATATCATCTTAGTATACATTTTGTGATTCCTCTTGGTTATTTTGCCCAGGGATATATGACCCCTTGACCCCTTGGTTAAGACTGCACTATCAACTTCCTCATGCTATCCATCACATCCTTCAGTGCATGCTGGAACAGGTTGCACAAACATAAAGTTCTTAAAAACAATAAGAGGTTTTGCTCCAGATATGTCATTCATCAACTTTTGGCACAAAAATGTAGTGAACAAACACAACATGTAAGAAATCATTCCCATGAACCAATTCAGGAGTTTCAGAAGGCTTCATCAACATGAATCACCTTCATCATTCCTATTGACTGTCTGAAGGGTGCGGCTCTTCACTTTTTTCAATCTACCCAGACTTTCAGGTTATTCCCCCATCAACAGTCAGCTACTGCACTCACCCATTGTACGCCTGTCAGAGGAGTACTTTTCCATCTTGTGCCAAAGAGATGATAAGATTTCTAAATATTACATTAAACACACATATATTTTTATACTGTCTATTTCAAATACATACACTGAAAAGGAAAACACACTATTATTTACATTTTAGATTTTGGGCTATTTTGCTTCCATAACATGTCTTATTTTACATAAATGCAAATACACAAACACCCAAAATACACATTTCAGTCTTTTTAACTTTGTTACATGTTCTGTTAACGTATATGTAAATGAACACATACAAAAAAGAATGCCTCATTTGTAAATTTAACAATTTTCAGGGAACCTGTTGTACAAATGCCTTCTTTTTTATGCTGCTGCAACGCAAACATTTCCCAATTTGGGATCAATAAAGTATCTTATCATCCTAACTTATCTTTATCTTATCTTAAATGTGCCTTTATGAAAGTAATCAACTGAAAGATTAATGGTGGTAACAGTTGGTTGAAATTGTAACTCTTTGGCCTCCCTAACTTGTAGTGTCTTCCCTTAAACTGTCACACACACCCAGTATTGCATGTCAGCACAGACACACCTACAGAGTGTGTGTGAAGGGTGACTCCCCCTGTGAGGGTGTGACTTTGTCTTCATCTCTGAACCAAAGTCTGACCTGTTTTCAGAGGACTCTCTGCCATCCCGTGTGTGACATAAAGTAAAGTAAGTACATTTATTTTGAGATTAATATGAAGTTTTCACCAAAGCTGCATTTACTTTGAAGAAAATAATTCCCAGTTAATAATTAGTTAGTAATATTATTAGATCATATTTTGAAATACTTCTCAGTAGATGTGGCTTTAGTTCTTTATTTTTTGTCTCAAGTGAAGCAGTGTGCAGTGTTGGTGTCATGTTGGATGTCCTCTATGCATTGTAATTCGTTCCCATGTCACAGTGTGTGTTGATCAGTGTTTAGCATTAGCATTGGGTATTAATTTAAAATTCAGTTACTGAATACATATGACATTTTTCACATGAAATTAGTAGAGTTATCCCTTGGCTTACAAACAAATATATTTATGTTTAGAATTGAGAGCTTAAAATATTGCACAAATAGCATGGTTTATTGGTTAAAAAATGTTTGCATTATTTAAAATTGCCATATTTTAGAGAAACCATCAAAAATATGTTGCAGTAATCATTGACAACGTAACTTTCACTGATTCACAATTTATGAAATGTGTTCCAGTTTTTTTTGTAACCTGATTACGTAATCCCGATTACATGGCATTCGTTACTACCCACCCCTGGTGTTGACAACAATTGTTTGCATGCCTTTAAGCAGCTTGTGTCACTAGAATAAAACAATCAGCTAATATGTAAGAAAGAAAAAAAAGGAAAAATTGATGTAAACAAACATTAAATCAGCAGCAGTTTCTGTTTTTCTAAACTCTTTTTTTGTACATCCATCAGTTAGCAATCTCCACCCACCGTCATCATGCCTGAGACTGCAGAGGCCCACTCCCACACCCTCACCACCAACCGCAACTGCACCATCGAGCTCAGCAATGTCAGCTCCTCCTACTGTCTCGTCCACCCCAAGTAAGAATCTCTGTTAGACAGCGTGAACAGTTTTTTCTAATTTGTGTGTTAATTAACCAATGAAGACAGTGAGTATCAAATTCCTTCAATGTTCTTGAATTCACGCATGCATGACTACCAGTGGTATACAGTTAATACATCTTACATATACTGTGATTTAAAGCACTTGTACTTGTACACCATCACCTAGGTTGGGAATCATTGATATTACCAGTACTGTTAATAACACATTTGACATTTTTGCACTTTTAATCAAAGAGGATTTTTTTATGCAGAGCATTAGCCCACTTATAAAGGAGTAATTTGACATTGTGGTATAAGCACAACCTGAGTAGAGGTTAGGGTTAGGGTAAGAGTTGGGGTTGGGGTTGGCGTTCGGGGTAAGAAAACGTTTTAGTCCACTCATCACTGCATCTCTTTTACCCTGCAGGGTGCACTTGGAGAGTGGCTTCGCCTTCAGCCCTCCCCAGCCCACCGTGCGTATCCAGAAGACCGAGGTGTGCTCCTTCGTCAAAGACGACCATACGGCATCCGGTGCCGTCGGCGTCCTGACCTACGAGCTGTTCGACATGCGCAACCGCCAGTGCAACGAGGTGATGGCTATCATGTTCTCAGTGCCGTTCGACTACAACTTCTACAAGAACTGGCTCGGGGTGGGCATCTTCGAGCACACAAGAGAGTGTGACGAGAAACTGTTCAAACATATGTACAACGAAAAGGATTTCACCAACTTTCTGCGCCACGAGGCCGACGGCTCAGGGGTGACCTACAAGGGGAGGATGGTGGATGTGAGGGCCTGCATGTCCGACGAAGGCAATGCCATAATCAAACTGGAGCTGTACGACAAGATGGGCAGATGAATGTTTGTAATGAGTGCATTGGTGTGGAATAAAATGTAAGAACACAGTTGAAGCAGATGTTCCTGAAACCTACATACAATGTGTTTGTCCATGTATGGGTGCTTTAAATGAATAAAAAACAATACAATGCAATTCTTGTCCTTGACCATTTTTCATCTTTATTTGAGCCATTAAAAATGGTCACACATTTTTGCAGGCAATGAAAAGATTGAAATCTGCTCAGCAGAAATAACATGAGTCATACTTCACTTTGATTTATAAAAGTATAAACACAGCCAGACTGTGCAACATGCCATTTAGAGGTATAGCATGTTCTTGTCCTCATGCAGACAGGAAAAACCGCATCACTGCAGAGATAAAAGGTGCATAATGAGACAATGAGATAGTAAACAATCTGCCTTATGCAGCAATGTTTTCTTAAGCAAGTCAACTCCAGATGCACTAAATTATCTTAACAATCTAAATCTGTTTTATCCGGTTGGGCCGAAGGATAAATCCTACTTGATAAGAAATGTGAGTATTATCATACAATGCACCCTAAACACTATATATGGGCTGGACATTTGTAGTGCAAAGTGAATATTCTCTGGCACATTGGAAAGATTTGGAAAAAGGTTGAGCTCACGATAGATTTTTCAGAGCATCGGTACTGGTGTTGCAGGAAAATCAAAGAGCATGTAAAAGCAGTATGTAAGTTATACAGAAGCTGAAAGCACAACGTATTATCCTCCAATGGTTTTTATGGTCTTAACTGGACCAATGGACCAAGAGTATTCCTTTAGCCAACAAGTGCAATAAAAGATCATTCTAAATGTGATTATTATGTGCATGCAGATTCTTTTTTTCCTCAACAAAATAAATAAAATGTCCATTGGGTTGGACAATCATTTTGTGGACAGTAAAATGTTTTTTTATTATCTTGGTAAAAGTGCTCTCCACCAAATATACAGATAATAAGCAAACATTGGGGAATCCAAGAAATCAAAGCGTATTAAAAAAAATAAGAACCAAATGGTTGATGGGATACCAAAATAAGAGGACTTTGCTTCCTGCATGGTTACTAGGGACAATACATCACGGATATGAAAGAAACAGGTTTATTCGCTTCTTGCATGAAGCTCAAACTTGATCGTAGCTAGGCAAAAATACACATTATGAAAACAAAAAAATACCATCCTTATGTTGCAACTGTTGGCTACACCCTGTCTTTGAGCCTACATACCTCAGGTGAGAGGTGAGGACAAAAAGCCAGTAACAAGGAGTAGGTGCGTATTGTGGGTGGAAACACATTTGGGTGGGGTTACTGTGTCACAAATTCCCAAACAAGAGTGATCTAAAGAGAGAATCCTGTGTTTCAAATCTGGCACTGATCGAGCGAGCAACACATCTAGGATCCGGACAGGTAAGCCTGTTTAATACTGGCCTGTATTTGGAGGTTTGATGAAAAATATAGTTTTTATGTAGCATTTAGCACTGTGCGTAATTTGTTATGGACACTGTTCACAGCTAATTGTATTCACTGTATTGTAATACAATGTAATTCTGCTTTGCTGCAGCCTTTACAAGTAACAACATGTGTGAAACAGCAGAGGCATTGGCTGCTAACTTCAAGAGCAGCAGAAATGTCACCATTGAGATCACCAACCTCACCAACAGCTTTTGCCTGGTAGACCCAAAGTAAGTGCAAACCTAAAAGACAATATTGTTTAGAGTATTGTTATATATAATAATGCATTATATTGCATCTTAATTCAAATATGTGTGTAGCCTGATAAAAACAAACTAGAGATGAATTATCCAGTTTTTGCTCTTAATTATTTTGTTTTTCTTCTTTTGCCTTTAAAAAAAAGGGTGTACCTGGATAGTGGGAACTGCCATAGCCCACCCCAGCCCACCGTGCGCCCTCTGAAAACCGAGGTGTGCAACTTCAGCAAGACCAGTTCCAAAGCCACCGGCGCTGTGGGCGTCATGACCTACGACCTATTTGCAAGAAATAGCAACGCCCCTACGGAGAAATTAGCCATAATGTTCTCTGTGCCCTACGATAATAGCTCCTACAAGAACTGGTTCGCCTTGGCAATCTACCCCATGTCCAAAGTGTGCGATGAGAAGCTGTACAAAGAGATGTATTACGACAAAGAACCCAAGGGCTTTGTGAGGCAGGAGTCCAATGGCTCTGATCTCACGTTCCAGGGCGCAACACTGGACCTGAAGGCTACCATGTCCCCGATGGGCAGGTCCATATTGAAGGTGGAGGTGTGGGACAAGCTCTTCACTCCAGCAATGAACCAGCAGCATCACTAAGCCAGTAATTCATTTATATCAAAACACAGTTTAATGGGCAGTGTGTTTTATTAAATATGCTTAGCCCTAACACCTTTGCTACTGTATAATCTATTCATGCAATAAATACAGTCTGATATACAAATAAATGTGTGTCTTAGTGATCATTACAAAAGGTCTTGGCAAAGCTTCAGAACATTCGGGACCAACTGGTGGAACAAGTTAATGTTTATCTAAATGATGTATCTCTATGGCACAAATGTAACTTATTTATATCAATCAGCAGCCAATGTGACATACAAAGTTGAAGTATAGTTTATTTTTTTTAATATGAAATGAAATATCTTTGACATTAGGTAAATAATAAGATAAAAGACAGAGATTATTAGGTTTTGTATGTAATTTTCAACAAACACTACAGTGTGTACAGCCTGCAAAAGCTGCGTATGATCGACATGGTTTGCACGAAGTCACCATCTAGTGGTTACAAGGATTCAGAGCATGCTCACCTTCAAACCTTACTCAGAATCAATGTACACGTGTACTCAGATAAAGGGAATAACATCATATAAAAAGTAGCAATGTTTATAAATTCAGGTTTATTAAGTTGAGATGAATGATCTGAGGTCAAGTTATAGCTTTTACACACACAGCAAATCACTTTATTGCCAAGAGTTAGATAAGAAAATGTATACCAGAGTAAATATCAAGTTACAGCAAACTTAGCTTAGCATAAAGACTAGAAACAGAGGGAAATTGCTAGCATGGCTCTGCTCAGTCATAACAAAATGTGCACTTCTAATATGAATGTGTGGTATGTTTTTTATTTGGTCTGGATGAAAACCTAAGTGTAAAAATATCAAGTAAAGATGTTTGTTTTGTTTTTTTATTGAGGGAACTGGGCTAGCTGTCTCCCGCTTTTTTGAACGCTAAAACAACTGTCTCCCAAGCTCAATTTATTAAACATACACAAATGAGAGAGGTAGGTTATCAATCACCTTACTGTTAGCAAGAACATTAACATACACTGTGAACAGGTTGAAAGTAGCATGAATGCTACACATAAAGGTGAACATTATTTTTTCCGAGAAAGAATCACCATTTTTCTTGATCAAAGACACGTTAATGTAAGGTCATCGTGCAACAATGCATCAGCAATTTTCTTAGTTCATTAGCAACAATATTTTTAATTTAAATACATGATTTTTTTCTATTGTAAGATATAACAGTGTATTTGTGTCTGCAAAATCAGTTGGATTGAGAGCACTGCTCGTAAAAAACACTGACAACAGTTTTGAATCTGTCCTTCAGATACATTTCGAGTGTTTCCAGTGGCATTTTTCTCACATCATACCCTCTGAACTGTTTCTTAGTCTGCTGGCTTACTGGCACAATCTCCTCTGTGCTGTTGCAGTCGTTGCGACCAATGGCAGCATACGTGGGGAAAGCATCCTTCAGTACTTTTGGTAGACTGTTGTTGTAGTTTGGGCAGCAGTAGGCGGACCAAATATACTCAGGCACGGCTACACGATGATTCATGAGCCAGGGCTCGTCGCTCTGGTAAGGGATGATGCCAGTCACTATGTAGGCGTCTCCGAGACAGTAGGTGCCTAAGGTTTTGTTGACGTTCTGCTCCAGGGCTTCCCATGGCCCATCATTAGAGCCTGACATTTGAGGAACCACATTAGTCAGGGTGAAGGTAGAGGCGCGGTCCTTGTAGCTCTTGTGGTGGAGGCTGGGGTTCAAGTGTCCACGAGAATAGGTGGAATTAATGTAGTCCAACTCCACTCCCTGGCTTTCCACCACGTTCTGATCCAGATGGCCCAGAGGGAAGGAGAGCATGTTGCCATCAGCTCCTGGGTAGGCTAACTGTTCATGGTGGGGGTCAGAAGAGAAAAGTGAGGAACATTGCACGTAGACCAAACAATAAACTGTCATTTATTTATAGGAAGACTGACTCAATGAGTGAAGCTGCTTTTAGAACAGGCAGGCATGGGCAAACTAAGGCCCGTGGGCCATATACGGCCCGTTGGGCTTTTGAATCCGGCCCGCCGAATATTGGTACAAAATTGTCCAAATTATAGTAAAGACCGCATTCATTTTGCCTTTTTCCTGCAATACCCGCCATTTTAGTTGATCCCACTGTGTTGATTAGATAGATACACACTCCTACCACAAGGTGTCGCCACATAGTTGTGACCTATGTTTGAATACAGATGTACGGTAAGGGACGGGAACAAGAGCTCTATTAAAAACTTGGCTAACACTTAAGCATGGAGCACGAGTCAGTTCATTAACAGATCAACAAACAAAACACCCACTAGATGGCGCACTCTAGACACAATTTACCTTAGCTGGAGTCTGGTGTATTCTCTCAGCTGGCCCCACTCGGCAACCCGGTGTTGCAGTATAAGTTGAGTCATGACAACTGGCGACATTCTATTATTTTCGTCATAGGAATCCGGGACGGGTACATTGAGGACCCATTGTTGACTTACCAGGAAAGAAACATCGTTTGTCGTTTACGTTCATCTTTTGCTATATCTGCCTTCCTAAGATCACTTTGCTGCACATTCAGTACTCGTATGTGAGGTTGTGGGTGAGAGGCCGATATCGTGACGCTTACAGGGAGGTATCGAACATTACAAAGTAGGTGACTGTGTGGATGCCTGTTCAAAACATTGCAAACTTCAATAAATCATTTAAATTATATATTTGTGTCCGACTTTCATTTGTTCATCGTTCTTAATGTGATGTATAGTAGCTTTGATAGCTG